GTAAGTCTAAAAGTAGCTAATTGAGTTTCAAAGATATTAGCCAAAGTGGTTGGCATATTAAAAGTATAAATGAGGAAAATATTGGATATCTTTGTATTACTAAAATCATACCGGTAAATATGAAAGACTATCTGACTTTCCTCCTATTTGTACTACACAAGTATAAACATAATGATGAAATTACATGCCACAATAAACTAGAGATTTACTGAAATAAATATATGTTAGCATTACCGGTTCGGCTATCCCGGTTCAAATAAGATGCACAAATTGATTGAGAATTCACATTGGCATATATTGAAGAAATAGAAGATTCTTCAAGAATTCTCTTGTGCTGCTTGTTCTCATGATAAATTGGTTATCATGCCAACTAAGGTTGTGTTTGGAATTGTATCCCTGTATATTTGGAACGTATAAAAGGTGATATATATATATGGGGCCGTCACCTGCCATGTGGACCGTTTACTATTATAAGATTTTAATAGATGCATCTATGGTATGGTCACATGTGCGTTTTGTTATCAACATGCAATTTGAGTTTTGCAAGATTGTTTGCTTAAATTATTACAACACAATTCCAAATTATAAGATTATGATGATTTATCTTCATAATGGTAGTTTAAATTTATGATGGTTTAGCAGAAAGTGTATGCCTCCAATTATAGCTAAACTACGGATTATGAGAATAAAAGTTTCAAAAGAAAATTTGATATGTGATGTGTTATTTAACATGTAGAAGTACTTATATGCATCACGCCAACATGTTTCCATAAATTCTCCCTATCACGATTGGTTCAGGGTGATGTACCAAATTATTCCCATCTAAGGATTTGGTTGTGCGGTCTATATTTTAATTGCTCCACCATAACACACAAATATAGGTACCCAAATATATGTTGGTGATCCCAACATTAGGGGGAGAAAATAGACAGCTAAAATGTTATACATAAAATGAATAATCTGGATCTTCGTACAAGAAAATATGAACTAGAACTTCAAGAAATAAACTTATTTGCAAAACGTTGTAAGGCACATTTGCTGACCCAAAGCTGAATATCATATTCTAGCTGCAAATGCTCTAAATAAAATAAAGTCCTTGAAGAAGGAGGGAGCAAATGATCAAGATGGTCGATGATATCTTTGATATAATAAAGCGCTCAAGAAGTAACGACCTGGCCACACGTTTTGAGAATTTAAGCTCCGTTCAGCGGCGTAAGGTCTTGTAACAGCTTCTGTGTATCGACTTGCGTGCATGGTTGGATTCAGTTAACGGATTATTCAGAGTCGAATTGGAAGAAGGATTCTAGTTTTGGAAGCTTGAGCGGTGAAAATTTGACCGGGATTGGACTTTAGAGTAAACGGCTCCGGAATGGATTTTGGGTGATCTCAACAGCTTTGTATGGTGATTTTGGACTTTGGCGCGCGTTCGGATTTAGATTTGGAGGTCCGTAGGGTAAATTGAGGCGTTTCGGCGAAAATTGGAAAAGTTCAAGTTTGAAAAATGGAGAAGTTTGACCCATAGTTTACTTTTGTGATATCGGGGTCGGAATACGATTCTGAGAGTTGGAGCAGCTCCGTTATGTCATTTTGGACTTTTCTGCAAAATTTGGCGTCATTCCGAGTTGATTTGATCGGTTTCGGCTCAAGTTTTCAAAGTTGGAAGAATTGGAAGTTCATAGTTTGATTCTTGGCGCGATGTGTATTTCCGGCGTTGTTTGATATGATTTGGGACCTTGAGCGAGTCCGTTTTAGGTTATAGAACTTGTTTGTGTGACTAGACGGGGTCCCGGGGGCCTCAGGTGTGTTTCGGACGAGGTTCAGATGTTTTGCATAGTTCTAAACAGGTCTGGTTCTGGTGTTTTCCACACCTGCGACCTTGGAGCGCAGGTACGGCTCCGCTTCTGCGTGAGCCCGGCCGCTTCTGCGGTCATGCAGGCCTGGGTAATTTCTCGCTTATGCGGCTCCACTTTTCGCTCATGCGGTGCCGCTGGTGCGGCTAATTTCCGCAGATGCGGTCCCAGGCCAAGTAGACAAAGTTCGCAGATGCGGACTCTTTCTCGCAAATGCGGTCCCGTAGATGCGGTTTCTTGACCGCAGAAGCGGAAGTCCTGGCAGAGTCCTTTTATATCGAGGGTTAGCCATTTTCTTCATATTTTGAGTTTTAAACTTCGGATTTGGGAGCTTCTTTTGGGGTTTTTCAAGCAAATCGATTGGGTAAGTGTTCTTCACCTAGAATCTAACATATTCCATGATTTTATCTTCATTTTTATCATTTAAATTGTTTTTTGGGTTGGGGAAGGAGTTGGTTTTTGAAGAAAATTTCTAAAATGAAAACTCGTGATTTGAGGGACCAAATGGTATCGGAATTTGATAAATTTTGTATGGTTGAACTTGTATCGGAATGGATATTCGGTTTTTGTAAAATTTGTTGGGTTCCGAGGTGCGGTCCCGGGGGTCGACTTTTGGACCGATTTGGATTTTGTTAAAGATTGAGACTTTATGATCCGGAATAGTTTCTTATGTGTTTTATTTGTGCTTTGAAGTTAATTTGGTTAGATTTGAGCCGCCCGGAGATCTTTCACTCGAGAAGTGAATTTTAGAGTATCGGTGTGTCGTCTTTGAGGTAAGTATCTTGCCTAACCTTGTGTGGGGGACTTCCCCTTAGGATTTGAGTCTTCTATGTTGATTGTAGTTCGTGTACGCGAGGTGACGAGTGCGTGCTCGGACTTATCTTTGAAAATTTGGTCTTTTAGAGTTCTTAGGTCCTTATATTCACTGTGTATGAATGTGTTCTTGACATGACTGAGTTTCCTATTTACTAGTTTCACATCTACATGCTTAATTGGAAATGATTGCTTCATGATTCACTGTTATTGCTTAACTGACTCCTATTTGATTTAATTGAAGAATTTTGCCTCTTGTCATGCTATCTTTTCATAGCTGTTTGTCTTATTTAAGAATCATTATTATCCTTTCTGAAATTTTGCTTAGTCTTAGGTGAAGCTAAAGGTCATCTTTCCTTAATTGAATTGTCGAATATCCTCGAAAATTGTCCAACCTTAAAAGGAGTTAGATAACCTATATCTTTGTTGACTTGCCCTTATTTGGGACTACTTGAATCGCGTTGATTTCCTTGTTATTGACTTGTATATTGTGGGATCTTTGCTATATGTTAGTTTTCCCATGTTGAATTGTTCCCTTTATGCCAGCATTCTTTTCTGTGGTTATTCCTTGTGAGCTGGTTCTACCGCTTCCTTGTGATTTACAGTCCTTAAGTTGATTTACTTGTCTTACCTTGTATTATTGTCATAGTTATTGCTATATGTATCATGGTGATGTACGAGCTTTCTGTTGTACTGTGATTGTTGTTGTGTTGGTTGCGCTGCTTATTTACTTTAGGACTACGGGACGATATCCCGGGAGATCCCCCCCCCCTGCATGTTTACTTCGGGACTACGGATCGGTATTCCAGGAGATCCCCCTGCACGTTTACTTTTGGGACTACGGGACCGCACCCGGGATATTCCCCTGTACTGGATATTTACTTTTGGGACTACGGGACTGAACCCGGGAGATTCCCCTGTAATGGATATTTACTTTGGGACTACGGGACGATATCCTGAGAGATCCTTTGCACATTTACGTTTGGGACTACGGGACGATATCCTGGGAGATCCCCTATTAAAAACATTGCGTTCTGAGCTGATGTTTTCATTGATCCTATCCCTGTGTAAACATTATAGGTGAAAACTATCGGAGTTGTTGAGTTATGACTTGTCTTTACTGTATTTGTAATTTCGGATTTGGGTTGTATTCTCGCTTACCTTTTCCGTGTTTTCCTTATGGTGTTCCCCTGAGTACTTGCTGTTTTCTTTCCTTATTTTTAATTACTGTATTGTTAGTCGTATCGCGTAGTCTCCATGTAAATATCATGATCTGTATATTAGACCAGTAGGTGTCTTGATTTTTCCTCGTCACTACTCCACCGAGGTTAGTCTTGATACTTACTTGGCACCGCTGTGGTGTGCTCATACTACACTTCTGCACATTTTTTTGTGCGGATCCAGGTATTGTTCGCTAGTAGCTGTGCGGATTCTTGCCGAGAAGACTCAAGGTAGCCCTGCTGCTGCGTTCGCAGGCTTCGGAGTCACCTTCCTATTTTATATTCACACTATTGTACTTATTTCCATACGGTTGTTTAGAAATTATAGCGAAACTCCGTAGAGCTTATGACTTGTACTACCGGGTTTTGGGAAGACTTTCATTGTATAAAGGATTCATTTCAGAAGAATTTTAGATGTTATTATTTATTGTTGTTATTCCGCAATTATTAGGCTTACCTAGTCCTTAAGACTAGGTGCCATCATGAAACCCAGCGGAGGGGGAATTGGGTCGTGACAATATTAGAATGATGATGAGGATTTTGAGCTCAAATCTGTCATAGAATATGAACATATAAATGACTGACCAAATAAAAAATACACAATCAAGTTTGACTTCACGTAAAATATGTGAAGTTAGACAGATAGTCCCAATACCTGAAAGTATAAAGCCAGTGGAGGTACAAATATATTCTTGCGCAAAAAGTAATATGACAAATCAAGCCGATAGATATAAAGACGACTTGTGGCACAATATTTTTCATAAATATCTTGGCATTAGTTATATGGAGACATGTTCTCTTATGATAGATAAAATCGTTTTCAGATTTTAGTCTGATGTCACGACCCGAATTTTCCACCTTTGGGACCGTGATGGCGCTTAATATTGCACTCGCTAGGCAAGCCAGCGTTACAGAATTTTTCACCTAAAGGCTTTTCAGAATCGCGCCCGGACTGCGCATGCAAATTGAGGAGAGATAAAAGGAGGTTTTTATGGCCTCGAAACACGGATTCGACTTCTAAAACAAGAGATGACCTTTTGGGTCATCACATTCTCCACCTCTAACACAACCGTTCGTCCTCGAACGGACATAGAAAAGTACCTGAGTCGGTGAAAAGATGGGGATATTTGCTCCGCATATCGGACTCGGACTCCCATGTAGCTGCCTCAACAGGCTGACCTCTCCACTGCACACGAACCGAAGGGTAACTCTTCGATCTCAACTGCCGAACCTGGCGGTCTAGAATAGCTACCGGCTCCTCCGCATAGGTCAAATCCTTGTCCAACTGGACAGTGCTGAAGTCTAACACGTGGGATGGATCGCCATGATACTTCCGAAGCATGGACACATGAAACACTGGATGCACTGCTGATAAACCTGGCGGCAACGCAAGTCTGTAAGCCACCTCTCCCACTCGATCAAGGATCTCAAAAGGCCCGATGAACCTAGGGCTTAGCTTGCCCTTCTTCCTAAATTCATCACGCCCTTCATAGGCGATACTCGAAGCAACACCTGCTCTTCGACCATGAATGCCACATCACGAACCTTACGGTCGGCATAACTCTTTTTCCTGGACTGAGCTGTACGAAGTCTATCCTGATGATCTTAACCTTATCCAAGGAATCCTGCACTAGATCTATACCCAATAACCGAGCCTCCCCCAGCTCAAACCACCCAACTGGCGATCGACACCGTCTACCATATAATGCCTCATAGGGAGCCATCTGGATGCTCGACTGATAGTTGTTGTTGTAGGCAACCTCCGCTAACGGCAAGAACTGATCCCAAGAACCTCCAAAATCCATAACACAGGCGCGGAGCATATCCTCCAAAATCTGAATAGTACGCTCGGACTGTCTGTCCGTCTGAGGATGAAATGATGTGCTCAACTCGACCCGTGTACCCAACTCACGCTGTACTGTCCTTCGGAAATGCGAAGGTAAACTGCGTACCTCGGTCAGGAATGATAGACACGGGCACCCCATGAAGACGAACGATCTCCCGGATATATATCTCAGCCAACCGCTCCAAAGAATAGGAAACTGCCACAGGAATGAAATGCACTGACTTAGTTAGCCTATCCACAATAACCCATACTGCATCAAACTTCCTCTGAGTCCGTTGGAGTCCAACAACGAAATTCATAGTGATACGCTCCCACTTCCACTCAGGAATTTCAATCTTCTGAAGCAAACCACCAGGTCTCTGATGCTCGTACTTTACTTGCTGACAATTCAAACATCGCGCTACATATGCAACAATATCCTTCTTCATCCTCCTCCACCAATAATGTTGCCGCAAGTCCTGATACATCTTGGCGGCGCCCGGATGGATAGAATACCGGGAACTATGGGCCTCCTCTAGAATCAACTCACGAAGTTCATCCACATTAGGCACACAATCTCGACCCTGCATCCTCAAGACTCCGTCATCTCCAACCGTAACCTACTTTGCATCTCCGTGCTGCACCGTGTTCCTAAGGACAAGCACATGAGGATCATCATACTGCCAATCTCTGATACTCTCAAATAATGAAGACCGAGCGACTGTATAAGCTAGAACACGGCTGGGCTCAGAAATATCCAACCTCACGAACTGATTGGCCAAAGCCTGAACATCTGAAGCAAGTGGTCTCTCACCGACTGGAATATACACAAGGCTGCCCATACTAGCCAACTTCCTACTCAATGCATCGGCCACCACATTGGCCTTCCCGGGATGATGCAAGATGGTGATATCATAGTCTTTCGATAGCTCCAACCACCTTCTTTGCCTCAAATTGAGCTCCTTCTGCTTGAACAAGTACTGCAAACTCTTATGATCCGTGAACACCTCACACGACACGCCATATAAATAATGCCTCCAGATCTTCAGTGCGTTAACAATGGCTACTAGCTCTAAGTCATGAACTGGATAATTCTTCTTCTCGTGGATCTTCAACTTCCACGAAGCATATGCAATAACCCTGCCATTCTGCATCATCACCGCACCAAGTCCAATACGAGATGCATCACAATATACTGTATATGGCCCTGAACCTTGGGCAACACCAACACCGGCGCCGTAGTCAAAGCTGTCTTGAGCTTCTGAAAGCTCGCCTCACACTCCTCCGACCACCTAAACGGGGCACCCTTCTGGGTCAACCTGGCCATCGGGGCTGCTATGAATGAAAACCCCTCCACAAACCGACGGTAATAACCCGCCAAACCTAAGAAACTCCGGATCACTGTAGCTGATATGGGTCTAGGCCAGTCCTTGACTGCCTCAATCTTCTTAGGATCCACCTGAATACCCTCTGTTGATACAATGTGACCCAAGAAAGCAACTGAACTCAACCAAAACTCACATTTCAAAAACTTAGCATATTTGGCTGTCTCTCAGAGTTTAGAGATTCGAAGATGCTGTTCATGCTCCTCTCGGCTGCGGGAGTAGATCAAGATATCATCGATGAAAACAATCACGAAAGAATCCAGATAGGTCTTGAACACCTGGTTCATCAAATCCATAAATGTTGCTGGGGCATTTGTCAGCCCAAATGACATCACTAGAAACTCATAATGCCCGTACCGAGTGCGAAAAGTTGTCCTAGGGACATCGTATGCCCTAATACTCAACTGATGGTAGCCAGATCTCAAATCAGTCTTCGAAAATATCTTGGCACCCTGAAGCTGATAAAAGAAATTATCAGTCCTCGGCAATGGATACTTGTTCTTGATGGTGACTTTGTTTAACTGCCGATAATCTATACACATCCTCATCGATCCATCCTTCTTCTTAACAAAAAACGCCGGTGCACCCCAGGGCGAGACACTAGGTCTAATAAAGCCCTTATCAAGCAAATCTTGCAACTGATCCTTCAATTCTTTCAACTCTGGCGGGGCCATGCGGTACGGCGGAATAGAAATGGGCTGAGTGCCCGGAGCCAAATCAATGAAAAAGTCAATATCCGTGTCGGGTGGCATCCCCGACAGGTCTGCAGGAAATACCTCTGGAAACTCCCGAACAACTGGCACAGAATCCATAGAAGGAACCTGAGCACTAGAATCACGAACATAAGCCAAACACCCCTTCTCGACCATACGCCGAGCCTTCATATAAGAGATAACCTTGCTGGTAGAATGACCAGGAGTCCCTCTCTACTCTAATCGAGGCAACCCCGGCAAAGCTAAGGTCACGGTCTTGGCATGACAATCCAATATAGCATGATAAGGTGACAGCCAATCCATCCCCATAATGACATCAAAATCCACCATATCGAGAAGTAGGAGATCTACACTAGTCTCAAGTCCCCCAATAACAACCACACACAAGCGATAGACACAATCTACAACAATAGAATCCCCTACTAGCGTGGACACATACACGGGAGCACTCAAAGAATCATGGGGCACAACCAAATATGAAGCAAAATAAGATGACACATAGGAGTATGTAGACCCTGGATCAAATAGAACTGAAGCATCTCTACTACAAACCAAAACAAAATCTGTGATAACTGCATCGGAGGACTCAGCCTTGGGCCTGGCTGGGAAAGCATAACATCGGGGCTGGGCCCCACCATCCTGAACCATATCCCTGGGATGACCTCCTGTTGGCTGGCCTCCACCTAGTGGCATGGCCTCCACCTCTAACGGCCTGACCTCCACCTCTAGCGGGCTGACTCCTACCTCTGGCTCCTTGACCCGTACCCCTAGCTGGCTGGGCAGGCAGTGCCGGAATCATGGAACGAGAACTCTGCTGCTGCGACTGAGCACTCACTAATCTCGGACTGGTCCTCCGGACATGCCCATACTCACCACACTTAAAGCATCCATCTGAATACTGCGGCTGAGGAAACTGAGACTGACCTTGACAGCCCGACTGACCGCGATAATAACTCTGAAGAGTAGGTGGTCTAATGGGAGCTGGCGATGCACTATACGCTGGCTGTCCTGAAGGAGGTACATAAGGACCCGACCTCCTGAAACTCCATGGGATGTCTGAAGTGCTGAATGAAACGGCCTGAGATGATGGCCTCTACCAAAAGTACCTCGACCTCCAGATGAGGTCCCACTGAATCCACCGGAGTGACGAGGCCTCTTGTCAGACCCCTGACCACTCCCTTGAGCTAAAACCATCTCAACTCGTCTGGCCATATTGGCTGCATCCTGGAAAGAAATCTCACTCCCTGTCTCCTTAGCCATCTGCGATCTGATAGGCTGAGCAAGTCCCTCAATAAACCTCCTCACCCTCTCTCTCTCGGTGGGAAGTATAAGAAGAGCATGACGGGCCAAATCCACAAATCTGGTCTCGTACTGAGTGCCGGTCATAGAACCCTGCTAAAGGCGCTCAAACTGCCTCTGATAGTCCTCTCTCTGAGTGATAGGAAGATACTTCTCCAAAAATAGCTGGGAGAATTGGTCCCAAGTGAGAGCTGGTGACCCAGCTGGTCTGGCCAAACAATAATCCCTCCATTGTTTCTTGACGGAACCCGACAGACGAAAGGCAGCAAAGTTGACCCCGTTGGTCTCCATTATCCCCATGTTCCATAGAACCTCGTGACAACTGTTCAAATAGTCTTGGGGATCCTCTGATGATGTACCACCATAGGTAGTAGTGAAAAGCTTGGTGAAACTGCCCAATCTCCACAAGGCATCAGAAGACATAGCTGATCCATCACCGGTTTATGCTATAACACCCGGCGGGACTACCCCAACTGGCTTAGCTGCTGGAGTCTGAAACTGGGGAGCCATCTGCTCCGGAGTGTGAGTAGCGGGAGTCTGTGCTCCTCCCCCAGCCCGAGAGACGGCTGGTGCTACAGGAAGTATGCCGGCCTGAGTAACACTCTCCATAAGGCCCAGTAGACGGACCAAAGCATCCTGAAGAAACGGGATAGCTATGAACCCCTCTGGAACCTGAGCTGGCCCTGCTGGAACGGTCTGGGCTAGAACTTCATCATCAAACTCTACCTGAGGCTCTACCGCTGGTGCTACTGCTCGAGCTCTAGGCTGAGCCCTACCCCTGCCTCGGCCTCTAGCACGGCCTCGGCCTCATCCTCTACCCCACGTAGGAGCTGCCACTGAGAGCTCGGGCTGCTGATCAGCTGATTAAGCGGTATGTGTTCTTGCCATCTGCGAAAGAACAGAGTAAAGAGTTCAATTAGCATCAAGAGATGAAACCGCACGACAGAGATGAATAGAAGTGAAATTGTTCCTAACTCTGTAGCCTCTGGGGGATAAGCACCGACGTCTCCGTACCGATCCCTCAGACTCTACCAAACTTGTCTGTGAATTGTGAGACCTAGGCAACCTAGTGCTCTGATACCAACTTGTCACGACCCGAATTTCCCACCTTCGGGATCGTGATGGCACCTAACATTGCACTCGCTAGGCAAGCCAACATTACAGAATTTTTCACCTAAAGGCTTTCTTGAATTGCGCCAGGACTGCACATGCAAATTGAGGAGAGATAAAAGGAGGTTTTTAAGACCTGGAACACGAATTCGACTTCTAAAACCAGAGATGACCTTTTGGGTCATCACATCTAACAATACACTGAAATGTTTGATATGTGTATAATGAATATCCTTGAAGGATTTAAATTGTTTTGAAGCATATAAATGTTACCAAGAAATTAATTAAATAATGCTTCACCAAATCCTTTTATGCATTAAAGTAATCATGACATACATGATTTATTTTTCGTCTAGTACAAAGGTTGTGCACTAACGTATCTTGCTAGAACCATGAGTATAACAATATGCCAGCGAGATGCAGTTTTACTCTTATATGGAGATATTATAATATGGTTAGTATTATATTACAAATAAATCCAGCTTGATATAGATTTATTTATTCTGACAAATATTATCAAGGTTTTGTTGGATTTGCAAATGCAGGGCATTACATGAAGTTTGTTATTCAAATAATCTATTTGCATTTGAGGGTACTGTCATATTATGATATTCTACAAGGCATCCAATTATTGATACTTATCCAAGCCAACCAAGATAATAACAACTTATAAATTAAGTGACTCAACACATAGGAGACTTGTAACTTTTCTGTGAAAAGAAGATTCTGATAGCATTAAAGACAATGTTGCTTTCATAGTAATTGAAAGACGAATATATGAAAGGAGATAGAATAAAGCACATTTCACCAAAGTTATTTTTCATATGCGTGATCTTCACAGGGTGAAATTGATATTCAACAAATTCATTCAAGTGATAATTTGGTTGATATTTTCACTAAGGCATTGCCAACCTCAACGTTTGAGAAGTTGAAATGCAATATTGAAATACATTTTCTTCGAGAAATAAAGTGATGTTTTCATCAGGGTGAGGCAAATACGCGATGTACTCTTTTTTCCTTAGCTAAGGTTTTATCCCACTGGATATTTCTAGCAAGGTTTTTGTGATGACCCGATAGGTCATCTTATGTTTTAGAACCTTATTCTGTGTTTTGAAGCCGTAAAACCCTCATTTTAGTCTTCCTCAATTTGCATTCACAGTCCGGGCATTTTTTCGGAAGGCTTATATGTTAAAAATTGATAAAAATAAGAATTTTGCCTTAAAAATTCATTTGAGTTGACTTCGGTCAACGTTTTGAGCAAACAGATCCGGATCCGTATTTTGATGGTCCCAGTGGATCCGTATTGTAATTTGGGACCTGGCGTATACCCGGAATCGAATTCGGAGGTCCCTAGCTCGAGTTATTATTTTTTGTTGAAAATTGAAAGTTTGAAAGTTTAATGATTTTTAAGAATTGACTGATGTTTGGTCTTGTTGATACCGGATCCGTATTTTAGTTCCGGAGCCCGGTACAGGTCCATTATTATATTTATGACTTATCTGTCAAATTTGGTGATAAACGGAGTTGGTTTGACGTGATTCGAACGTCCGGTTGTGAAAATAGAAGTTTTAAAGTTTTCTTGAAAATTTCATTTGATTTGATATTCAATTCGTAGTTCTACGTGTTATTTTCACGATTTGATCGCACGAGCAAAATCGTATGGTATTTTTGGACTTGTGTGCATGTTTGGTTTGGAGCCCTGAGGGCTCGGGTGAGTTTCGGATTGGCTACGGAGTGAATTGGATTTAGAAAACATAGCTGATGCATTTTGATATCTGGTATCTATTGCAGATCTCGCATTTGCGAGATCTAGGGCTGTTCATTTGAATCGAACCAATCCGTTCAATTTTGAATTTCGGATTACGGATTGGATCAGATTTCGGATTGTGTTTGTTAAAATTTCGGATTTCGCATCGGATTTGGATGTGTATAATTTTAATATCTGATCTGATCCGATCCGATCCGATCCGAATTGAAATCAGAAATTATGATGTATAAATACTAAACTTTAATTTCGGATAGTTAGTACTTCTTTTACATTTTCCTCCAAGTTATTACCTTTACTATTGATGGATTTAGCTATATTGGCACCATAGTACTCTCATAATTGCATAAACATGAATTTTTCTTACAGTATTGCCTCTTTTACAAAGAAAATATACATATGAGTTTGCAACTTTCAGGCATAATAATCCGATCCGAAATCCAAAAATCCAATCCGATCCAAACTTTAAATTCCGATCCGATACTAATTCGGATTGCAATTTCTAGAATTCGGAATTCGAAATCCGAAATCAGATCTGAAATGTGCTAAATTCGATTCGATCCATGCACAGCCTTAGCGAGATTCGGCTCGCATTTGCGAGCCTTGCATTTGCCAATTCCGCTTTTGTGAAGGGAGAGTCGCATTTGTGACTCAGCACTGTTTTGAGGATCTTCGAATTTGCGAAGGGCTGACCGCATTTGCGAGGGTAGCAGGGATCGCATTTGCGGCTGTTTTATCGCATTTGCAATTACTGGGCTTTGGGAGAAGTTCGCAATTGCGAACATGGTATCGCAATTGCGAAATCTGCAACTGTGTAAAACTTGAGTTAGACGGGATTTTTCTCTCATTCATAAAATATTCTAAACCTAGAACCCTAGAGGCGATTTTTCCAAGACCCTTTCTTACCCAAATCTTTGGTAAGTGATCCTAACCTATTTTCTTTCAATCTTTCATTACATTTCACAAGTTTTAAACCTAAAATCTAGTGTTTTCATGGTGGAAATTGGGGGGTTTGGATAGAATTAGGTATTTTTGTAAAATTGGGATTAGGACTTCAAATGGAAGTTGGATTCCAAAACAAATTATATAACCGGGCTAGGGGTGAATGGGTAATCGGGTTCTGGTCCGAATTTCGGATTTGGACCAAGTGGGTGTAATGACCCGG